TATTAAACTCCGACTTTTAATTTCTACATCTGTGAAATGAGAATAAGATTTGTATCACAGAATTGCTGTGAGGATTAAAAACTTACTACAAGTGATAGTTATTGCCATTATAAATTCATAGTTTTAAAAGAAATTTGATGTATGTTAACTAATTTCTCATTGTTATCCTGAAAAATATAATGCTTAATATATACTCTTTCCTACTGCAAATAGAAAAGGATAGCAATTATATGGCAATAAAATATTGATAGCAATAAAAATAGCAATAAAAATTGATAAATTGCCACAAAAGGAAAGCTTTAAAAAGCATATGCATATGGGACGCCTGGGTGGTAGTCGGTTAAGCATCTGACTCTCGGTTTCATCTCAGGGTCATGATCTCAGGGTGGTGAGATCGAGCCCTGAGTTGGACTGTGCTCAGCTTAAGACTCTCTCTCTCGGGGCGCCTGGGTGGCTCAGATGGTTAAGTGTCTGCCTTCGGCTCAGGTCATGATCTCAAGGTCCTGGGATCGAATCCCGCATCGGGCTCCCTGCTCGGCAGGGAGCCTGTTTCTCCCTCTGCCTTTCTCTCTCGCTCTGTCTCTCATGAAATAAAAAAAAAAAAAAAAAAAGACTCTCTCTCTCTCCCTCTCCCTTAGCCCCTCCCCACTGTGCTTATGCTCACTAGCACACTCTCTCTCTCTAAAATAAATAAATAAATATTAAAAAAGCATATATATATATAAAACACAGAACTTGAGCACATGAGCAACTGTTTAAGTATCTAAAACACACATTCACAGCAAATAATTTTTAACTCTGGAAACTAGAGTTCAGGTTTTCAGAAATGCCATGTGATGTTAACTATAATTAGAATAGTTTGCTTTATAAATCATACATTCAAAAAAGATTTCAAGTATACCCTCTCTCTTTGATGCTTTTCTAGTATGTTTGCTAATATAACACATGTCACTTTTCATTCAAGAAAAGGAGTAAGATAAAAACAGATTTGATGTAATGAAAATCATAGTTTCAATTAAAATGTTAGTTTACCCCCAGGTTTTCCCAGGAAGACGGTAGCTAAGGAACCAGCTGTCTCCAGAACCCTTCCCCCAGCTTCCTTCCCAACATACAAACATACATATAGTTTTATTAATGTTTTAAAATACTACACTTGATGTCTTGCCTCAAACACAGAAATCCCAACAACAATATTTCAAAACTGCCGAAGTCTATCTTACTATAAGTTAAGAAGAAGCACAGTATAGCAGGGACATGAGACAACAGTGAGAAAAATATTGTAGAGAACGAATTTTCTCTTTAGGAAGAAAATGTTAATTTGCTTCTGTATGGGTGGATTTGAATGTCAAGAGCTAAGAGGGTAGTGGGTCTCCCAGGGGCAAAGGGTATTTATTAATTCATAGTTGTTTTTTTTTAAGATTTTATTTATTTATTTGACAGAGAGAGACATAGCAAGAGAGGGAACACAAGCAGGGGGAGTGGGAGAGGGAGAAGCAGGCTTCCCGCCGAGCAGGGAGCCCGATGCGGGGGCTCAATCCCAGGACCCTGGGATCATGACCTGAGCCGAAGGCAGAGGCTTAACGATTGAGCCACCCAGGTGCCCCTAATTCATAGTTTTTAAACTAAATATTCTGTGACTCATCTATGACTGATGTCAGATGAAATTTGCTATCTAGAATAACTCAAAAAGCTGAATACAATACAATACAATACAATACAATACAATACAATACAATACAATACAATACAATACAATACAATAAACAAAAGTGAAATGGTAGCATTAGAGAGCAACCAAGGCAGCCCAAACTGAAGGGACTCAGCTCCTAGAGAGTAGGAAAGAGCAATGATCCTAACACCAGATAGCTCAGAGAGGGAGCTGAGGAGCAGCCCCATGGGCTTGACCCATGGGAAACAGTGCAAATGATCAATGGAGTATGGCGTCCCCATGAGACAGAGAAGTGGGTAGCCAGCAAAGGTTATGCTCAAAGTCAATAATGACAACAGCAACAAAAGAGCAAGAATGGGGGGTAGGAAGATGAGGGGAATTGCCAAGAAAATATCACAATTCTTTGCCTGGTTTTCAGAACTGAGACAGTTTTCAGGTTTGGAACCTACTGACTGGGTCCTAGGGAGCCCAAGGAGGAAGGACTCTGTAACAGCACGTAAGGGTATACTGTGGGTGTTCCCTAGTCCTTTCCCAAAGGGTCCTCTGCTTATTCACTCAGGTGGCTGTACACCCAAGAAAAGAGGAAATCACCAGACATTTAGACAACTACTAGACATCAAACACCAGTTAGTTTACGCTCTTCAACCCTATGCAGCCCCAGAATCCAAGAATTGTCCTAATTCTCCTAAGGAGAAAACCAGCCACGTGACTGGTACATTCCAAATCTCAGCCTCCTAACTCAGTGCTCCCCGGGGTTTATTTCCTCAACAGCCTCTGACACTGTCAAACAGATCACACCATTTTACCGGGCTTTTCTAGTTGTTTGTATTAGCAGTCCTGGTCTACCCCAAGTTATTCCATCCCATCTAGAATGAAGTCTCATTCAGCACTTGTCATCTTCTGGAATCATGTATTCATTCTTAGACTCTTTTTTTTTCAACAGATATTTATTTAGTGACTGTTATAACACAGCATTAAGATCAGAGTCAAGGAAAAGCCTAAAAATAAATCATCCCTAAAGAGAAGGAAATATTTGGCATTTACAGATATCACATAACAGAATGCCCAGTACTCTTCATACTTCGGGCAATTCTCCCATCTCCTCCTCCCTCATCTCCAATACTCTCACAACTTTCTCTCTATAATTTGCTTTAAAACTATCAAATTTAATCCTATTAAATTTATATCTATTAATGTTATTTCTATCAGTCATAAGAAGCCCTTAACTCCTAAGTTATCACCCAATCTCTGAGACCCCAAACCCATATCGCTCTATCTCCTAACCTAACCTCATCTCCTGCCATTTTCCAGTTCCTAAAGCCATTCCTCTAAGCCCTCTGGCCTAAAGGGTCAATCACCAGGAAAATACCCTACGTCTTCAAATATATCATCAAAGTTTCCCTTCACCTTTTTTACTCCAACTGAAAAAAATGCCTCCTTCCCACTCAACCTACCACAGATTCCCACTCAGCCCCCTAGCATGAAGACTAGTTTCTCTCCCACATCCTACTACCCCAAGTGTGGAGGCCACTAGCCTAGGAGCTCTTCATGTTGACACTTCCTGTCTTTCCTCCCTCTCTCTTCCCTAACCCACCCTGAGTAGAATCTCATGCCACCAGAGTATGCAACCTGGTCCCCTCCTTATTCCAGTCATCTCGGTCCTTCCCAATTCTCTGCACTTACTGAAATATAAAACGGTATATTTATCTTTACCTTCAATTCCTCTTCTTCCTGCTCTATTTAATCCAATCCAATCCAATCTTTTGGAAATCATCTCTGCATTGAAACAGCTCTTGTTGAGGTCACGAATAATCTCCCATTGTTAAAGCCCTTGATCAGTTCTCTACTCTCATCTTCCATGGTTTTCCAGCAACATGTGGCACCATTAATTAATCCTCCTTAGTACACTTTTATTATTTAGCTTTCAGATAGTGAATTCTCCTGTTTTTTCTTCTACTTCACTGGGTGCTCTAAGTCTTTTTTTTTCTCTTCTACCTTTTCCCTTAGCCTCCACCCCGTTTTTCTACTCTGTTTCTATGACTTAGACTGTTTTTTTGCTTTGTTTTCATTTTAAGATTATACTTACGAGTGATGCCTTGCAGTATTTGTCTTTCCCTGTCTGGTTTATTTCACTTAGCATAATGTCCTCAGGATCTATCCATGTTGTGGTAAATGGCAGGATTTTCTTCCTTCTCATGGTTGAATAATATTCCATTGTGTGTGTGTATGTGATGTGATGTGATATATATATATACATATATATACACACATACATGTATGATGCAATTATATAGATGTGACATATATGATGTGATATATACGTGAGATACATATCACATCTTCTTTATCCATCCATCCACTGATGGACACTTAGGTTGCTTCCATATTTTGGCTACTGTGAATAATGTTGCAATAAACATGGGAGTGCAGACTCCATCTTTGTTTACGCTCAATCGTGCAATGAACAGTACTTGCTCAGGTGAGTTCATTCTGTCTCAGGTCTTTAAATGCCTCTATAACTTGACACCCCTCCAACCTCTGTATCATGCAGGGACATCTCTGAGCTCCAGCCTCGAAGCTCAGCCTCATACGTCCAACAGCCTCTTTAACATTTGCAAACTGAATTCCTCATCTCCTGAGCCTCCTCAACCTACAGTCCTTCCTATCTTAGTAAATGGCAACTCAGTCCTTTCCATTGCTCAGGATAAAAACCTCTCTATGATCCTTGACAGATCTCTTTCTCTTCTAGCCCATATCCAGTTCCTTGACAATGCTTAGCAATTCTGCCTTCAAATACATATCCAGATTATGGCCACTTCTTACCACTTCACTGTTACTCTCTCAGGAAACCATCATCATCTCTCACCTGGATCATTTTAAGAGCTTCCACTCTTGCTCCTGGTCAATTCATAATACAGTAAGCAGTCAGAGTAATCCTGATAGAGGATAAATTGAATCATGTTCTTCTGCTCAAAGCCCACTGATGGTTTCCTGTGCAGAGAAGATTTTGAGCCCTTACAATCATCTGTAAGGCCCTATATTACATCCATCCTCCTCCCTGAGTTTATTGCAAACCCTGCTCTCTGTCCTGACCCCAGCCTTCTTCCTCCTAATGTTATAGGCACACCCCAGCCTTTGAGACTTTGTACTTACTAGTCCATTTTCAAAAATGCTTTTCTCACCCTCCTGAGTATCTACAGCTCACTTACCTCCTTTATATCTCTGATCAGACATCGTCCTATGTGTGAGGGCTCCTACATCACCGTATTTTAAACTGCACCTGCGCACACACACTAGTACTCCATATCCTGTTTTATTTGTATTTATTGTCAGCTTTGCACAGTGGCAGTATCGTAGCCAATGAGGTTTATCCGAGGCGTGGTTATTGCTAATTATTTGTATTTATTGTGGTTATCCCCATTTGACAGAGTAGATATTTAACTTTTTGTTTATTCTCTCTTTCTACACTAGAATGCATGGTATATGAGGGAGGAATTTTTCTCCATTTTGTTTACTGTTGTACCTCCAATATTGAGAACCATGATGTTATAGGCACTCAAAAATGTTTAATTATTGATTGGAAGAACTAGCAAATTCTTAGGGGTATAAGGCCATTCTGAATGTATCCAAAAAGAGATACCCCACTGGTAAGTTTAGTGGGATTGCCTATGTATAGATGAATTTGGTGTGATATACATATTCAAGTTAAAAAACATTTCTCAGGACACATTTTCCCAGTGAAGGCTTTTGAGAAGAGGTATTCTCTCTCTTTTTTATCAGTGGGCTTCACAGACAAGTTGAAAAGTTGCAGCTTTACAATTACACCTACAAACAAATGCTGTCTATTCATTTTATGTTTGCCTCCACTAACAAGCTCTCTCTTAATGTGTCAATCTTAAGTTATTCTCCATAAGTCAGCAACTATTTATTGAATACCTATTTGCCAGGCACTGGGCTAATTATTGGGGATATAGGGTTCCTGCTCTCAGGGAACTCACAATTCTTTTTTTCTTCACAGCGTTTGATAGTACCTCTTACCTACAGCCTTAGTAACATCAGGTAAAATTATGTGGTTATTTGTGGAAATCCTGATACATATATCATTGATCTTAACTGCTTTGGGTCTATCCCAAAATATATACCCCAAAACAGATGATGTGATCTAATGCAAATGACAGCATTTCAACACAGAAGACCTCAATCCTATTTCCTATAATGTGATTAATCTTTGTAGCAAGTCAGAGGATCTCCCCTGACCTAAGCTTCACCTCAGTTTACCTCAGTTTCTTCATCTGTAAGAAAAACTTAATCCCTATTAAGCACAAAAGATTTTTGTGAGGATAGGTAATAAAATGCAGTACTTAATGTAAATGAACACTTAATAGACTACTTAAATATGTAATAAAAGTATTATTTCAATTGGGAAGCAGCCCTGTGTGATGTGACAGAGATCAAACTTTTGGAAGGAGACAAGCTTGGGGTCAAATCCTAGTCCTGGAATTTAGCAGCAAATAAAAACAATGCTATTTAATTTAGAAAGTTAGTGTGAGCATCAGAACTGATATCCTTCAAAAGCCTAGCACCCAGCACAGGATTGGGCACAGAATAGATGCTATTCTCAGCTCTCTTAATTTACCGTAATATTGTGGCCCCTGACCATTATAATTGCTACTTTCGTCCACTTTAAAAATATGCCTCAGATTTCCAATCTGTAGAATGAGGAAACTATATCAGATTGGACTCTTTGAAAAGACCTCCTCAGAAGTCTGACATGAATAATGGGCTGGAATGCGTAGGCAGAAGTCACCATTATCACATCCTTGAGGGCAGCGCTTTGACGTGCTCTATCAGATTTTTGCATGGTCAGCTCTGAGGGGAGAGACAGAAAAGTCATATTCAGGAAAAGCTCCTCAAGGCAGGACACCAGAAGAAAATAAGAATAATGAGGTAACGCTAACTATAAAGTAAACCAGGCAAAGAGCCAAGAATTCCCATGCAAAGGGAGACCGGAGACAATCAGCTCTCATGTACCTACAGCTTCCAGCAACCTTTAAACGGCAAGAGACAAAGAACACTCTTCTCAGGCAATTTTGAAAAGTCGAAGCCAAACAAGGGGACCTCCCCTCAGAGGTCACCGAGGGCCTCAGATTACTGGCTCTCCTGCCACCATTCTAGTCACCCGGTGGGATGTTCACAGTTTGTGGACATTTCGATTCTATTCCATGTTAATCTCGTGGCGGGGTTACTCTCCCAAGCAAAATGAAAGTGGAAGAATGAAACATTCAAGTCATTTGATCACAATTGGACTGAATGGGTGTCGTGCCTTCACTCCAATTTCCCAGAACTGGGAGGGTTCTCTGTCCCCTCTCATTTCAAGTACTTTTGGTCTTTCAAAATGAAAAAAAAAAAAAAAAAAAAATCCTAACAGCTAGGAATGAGCTGATGTTCTGGCACACACTGAGACTGTCTTCTGACAACATTGCACAACTGCCCAGCAGCTCTTGCTTCATTTCAGAAGGCCTGGGGCCAACACTCTGTTCCTTGATCTATCCCTTAGTGCTTTAGAAACAAAGAGCGCCACTTGATGAACCAACAGTTCATGAACCAATTGACAAACTCGGTTGCATTACCTACTGGAACGTTTTATCGATTTCATGGCACTTCACTTAAAAACCAATTTGTGGGGATGTAGGTCACGCTTTGATAATTCAGCCTATGAAAGCCTAACCTCTTTTTATTCTCTGGCCATATCTGAACATCCAAGAGTATAACAAAGAGTCATAGTCTTCCATATCACAAGCTCGAAATGAAATTCACTGTCATAACGCCGAAATTTTACTACTGCCCTTCAAAGTGAGATGATTAGCATGAAATGGTACCAGAAACAGGATCAGGAGAATAGCTGTCATTTATGTATGTATTTATAGTTATTGTTAACATTATTGCAAAAAGCCCATCCCTCCCAAAGACATTAAATACTGGGCGGTTTCTTAACCCAAGAATTGGGAACTTTTGATTCCTGATCCATGGCAGTTGATATTTACCATAGTGTTCATCGTGTTCAAAAGGCATGTTTTTTAATGTAAATTTGGCTCTGTTCTTGCCTCGTTGTTTGGGGGTTTGCCCATCTGCTAGTCATTTGCTGCCAGTCTGAGGCTTGTTTTTGTTGATTGATTCAGAGTTAAACAAACAGGTTTCTTCTCTCTCATCCGTCTCTTGCCAGTCTGTCTTATGCTCATTAATTCTGTGGCCCAGTGACCTGTGAGCAGATCAATCTTTCCTTCTGAGACATCCAGTTACGAAATTTAAAATCTATATTATATACTTTGGGTCAAGATAAAGTTTTCTAAAAAGTGCTTGTGAACTGTTTTCTCGCTGGAACAGAAAAAGGGCTGCGATTTTCTACACGGCACAGAGACAAGAGAAGCAAAGGACATTTTTCTCCGCTGGTTCCAGAGAAAAGGCCTGAAGACCTCGGGTTTCTTTTGTCTCGCTAAGATCACACACGTATAGCTAATGGCCCATGGCACTCATACATTTCAGGGAGCTCTCCAGCCTTCTCTTGAACTAATTCCTTCCAGAGCCTCTGTTAAGTGTGACTCATCACTTTACAAAGCCACTGCCTCCCTGTCTTCCTCCTGCCAAATGTGGAGGGCATGTCTTTCCCACTGGATTCCGGCCATTTCTTTCATACATTTGACGTAATCTTCTTACCCATTGTTTTTGTGCATCAGATGGTGCAAAACTGCAGACCAAAAAAAGTAGAGAAAACTTAAAAACCTGAAAAATGACTCTGTGGAGATGGCTTGGGTTATCCTGGGGTATTCTTCAGCTGTGAAAAATCTTTACCAGTTTGAATAAGGAGTTTTAATTTTATTCTGTTTGTGTGTGTGTGTGTGTTTGATGGGAAAGTGGGGTATTGTAAGACTTCATATGATTGAGGAAAGTCGGCGAGATTAGAGGAGACAAAAATATAACTAGACTTGAAGAAGTTAAAACAATTTTTTAAATAAAGAAAAAAAGAACACTTGTAGTCAAATTGATCATATGAGCACACATGAGACCTTACTAGAGATTTCATGGCAACAGAAATATTCATCACATCCTGCCCCTGCCTGGACTTTCCTCCATTAATTATCCCCGCTCTTCTGAGTACTGTCAACCTTTTCCTTTCCACTGGCCTCATTCTCGTAGGCCAGACACATGTTCAAGGCTCTCCCATCTTGGGAATAAATACTTCTTTAACTGTCCCCACTCCAGCTACTGCACCTTCTCCTGTAAGATGTTTTGTTTTTTTTCATTCAGCTTCTAGAACAAGCAATCTACATGAACTGTCTTGTAATATTTAGTTCTTTCGCTTATTGATTACAAACCCTCTTTCCCTACATTATTGCTATGCCAGAGTGAGTGAGTTACTAATTCCAACTTTATTAGTGTTCTTGGATATAAGTGACCGAAAACTTATTTCAATCTGGGCCAAGCCAAAAGAGAAGTTATTTTTATTATTGTGGTTATTGTTGTTTAGCTCCTTTACCAAAAAAGTACATAGGCAGAACTAACTCTAGGTACAGTGGACCCAGGACTTACTGTCACTTTCCTGACTCTGCCTCCTATTTTAGCTTTACTTCTTGGCCAGTCCTTGCTTCATGGTGGCACACGGTGACAAGGATCTCTAGATTCACCTTCTCAGTGCTCCAAATGTGTTTGACCAGACCTCAGGGTTAACTTTGGTCAGCATGAGTCACATACCAACTGTTAAGTGAAGCAGTCCAAGGGGCTGCTATATTCTGACTGGTTAAGGCCTGTGTTGTGCGCATTCTTTGGAATCGAGCGGGGCTTTGAGTTTCAGCTCTCATAGTGTTTATTCATAGTAACAATACCACCTACCATGTCTGATCCTCTGCAGCAAACACCAGTTCTTTACAACAGCTATGCAAGCGATGTGTGAAACATTATGAAGATGATCGATGTTCGAATAACTTACTTGGCCCAGCTCTAAAAATTAATAAAAAGGATTTGGGATCTAAATTCAAGTTTGTTCAGTTTCAAAATTGTGCTCTTCCCAGTGCATCATGTCAAAATACTCTACCTGAAGCCCTCATCACAGAGCCAGGGCATGCTTAACTAATGTTCATTACTTCTCTTTTCTCTGCACATGCAATTCAGAGCATGTCATAATTCTTGAATATTTCATCTTGCAGTCCCCTCCATAACCTGGCTCCTGTCTACTTTGAATGGTTTCATCTCTCACCATTTTCCCCAGATTGTTCTGAACCATTTATTCTTCCCTCAACATACCAGGTTTCCTTACTTGTCTGAAATTTTGAATATAAAATGGACTCATTCCGTCTGGCTCCCTTTCCCCATGGCAAACTCTTGATTTTTCAAGTCTGACCTCAAGCATTGACTTGCTTCTGTTGAACCTCTGCTGTTCATACATGCCTTTATTATGGAAATGAGCAGAGTGTAGTGG